CAGAGAAGTTAATGAACCTACTACTGGAACTGATCCAATTTCTATTGAAACTAATGGGAGTTTTCCCATTAACTTTAATGGGATTTGGATCAGACCCATTGCCATCTGAGAGAGAGCTTTTTTAGACGAAGTAGTAGAGTTTGAAGAGGAAGGACCAACATTCTAGTTTGGTTCCCTAGGGATGTGACATGCTCATCTAGAATGGATGAGTTTTATTATTACACTGGTGTATTCTGTCGTTCAATCTTTTAAGCAATTTGAGTTAAAAAGAAAAATGCTGTGGAAAGACTGGGCTTTTATATTGGGTTTTTTTAACCCATTACGAAAATTAACTTGAAATTTCTTTTTGGCTCCCACTCTTTGGGTGGGTTGTGGGGAAGATTTCCTGGCTGCCACTGGGCTCCCAGCTCCCTCTCTGCAGGAGACAGGGATGCCAACAGCCAATGCCAATCCTGCTCTTCAGGCAGGCCAAGAGGAGAGGAACTTTTGAAGTTGCAGCTGTTGGCTCTGCTCTCCTGGAGGAAGAGAGCCATTGCCACTGCTCCTGCTCTTTGGGCTGGATGAATAGCAGGCCCTGACTGCCACAGATCCCACTCTTCTTGAGGGTGGAAAAAGGGGAGGCCCATTTGCTGCAGCTCTTGTTTCTTTGCTGAGCTGAGGGGAGGGAGCCTGCTGCTGCTATAGTTCTTGTCTGGAACAGAGAAGGGGCACCCATCTACCACAACTTTCAGCTCTTGGGAGACAAGGGACCCCAGAAATGGCATCTTCCTGCTCCTGTTGCAGTGGCAGGATCCCCTTCCCCAAGACAACTCTTGACTGCTGCTCTTTGGGAAAACAGACTACTGATGCCAGTAGATCCCGGCTTTTTCTTTGTCAGGCTGGGGAAAAGGGGCCCTGGCTCCCCCACCTTGACTACAACTCCTGAGTCATGTTCTTGGTCAGTTAGGTCACCACCACCAGTCTGGGGTTTTGGACAGGCTTCCTGGGTTAGTCGTTTTGAGAGTCCTTTACTCTCACAAATCTTGGGAGACAGACCTGTCCTCGCTTACAGACAACCCCCC